GGGGGGGGTTCTTTGGCTTTCTTGATAATAATATAAAATAAAAAAAAATCTCATTTCATCATTTTGAAAAAAGATGTTTAAGTTATTTAAATAATAATATCTGGATACTGGATACTATACAATAGTCAGGGGCCAGAGCCGGTAGTCTGCTATATATGACAAGAGTAGATTGGCTGCTGATAATAGTTCTTATTCAGTACCATAGGTTCTCTACTACCAAGAAATTCCACTTCCTCTTTCGGCTTTTGTCCGCGCCTTGGCGGGCCCACTTTGACGTTTAGCGCATGATGGGCTATGTCACTAGGCGACGCGAGATTGGTTTCATTGCCGACTGCTTGGGTGTGTGTGTGTGTGTATGTGTGTGTGTGTATGTGTGTGTGTGAGTGTGTGTGAGTGTGTGTGTGTGTGTGTGTGTGTGTGTGTGTGTGTGTGTGTACAACTTTGTTTGGGGAGGAGAAGAGGAGGTACAGAATGGTACAGACTAAATCTATAGTACGAGAATTGCTGAGACTGTTTAAAGATAACAAAAATTAACACACAAATAAAAACAAAAAAGTAGTGAAAAGAAAAAAAAGGATAAAGGGTTAATGGAGGTGGGTGGGTGGATGAGAAGGAAGAAAATAAAACTGAAAAATCAACCAACAAAAACGAAGAGAATTGTTTAATGATTTTAAGCGGCGAGATATGTTCACCGATCAAACTCACGTAGTTTAAACTGTCCTGTCATTTCATATCACAAGGATAGTTATAATAGTGTCGTAATAAGTCTAGCACGTTGTCCCTAGTCAACATCATATTAATTACAGAATTACCAGACAAATTATAATGACATTGTGCTATGAGACTAAATTTCTTTCCCAACTTAAGAAGTGAATGTCATGTGGCGACACACGTGCAGTCTTGCTTTACAATTTCTTAAAGACTTGATGTTACGATCTTTTCTACCTATGTCAATGTCTGGCAAATTTGAATTTTCCTTGTCTCTTCTTAGTGATATCAAACAAAAATAACTAGATCTAGTTGTTTCCCCATCATCTAGATCCTTGAAGTACGACGACTGGTGCGCTGTTTAAAGAGAGTCACATTACTCTCTCGAGTCTTATTTTGATTCAGATTTTGAAATGACAATTGTTTAACCCTCAGTTTTTCCTTTCTGGCTGATCATGTTTAGCCTGAACTGACTGCGGGACTTGAGAGGTCAAACGAACTGGAGTGAAGGTCATGAAGCAGATATTTCAAAGATCTCACATCGCCATTCGATGGTTCTTTTTTCTTTGGTTGTTGGCTCATACATCAGGTATGTTATTTCTGTACTATTGACACATATGTATACATTGGGCTTGTTAATCCTGAACTATTGATATTGATGTGGAACAGAAGAAGTTTTGAGAGTAGGACTGATTCAGATACTTTAAAAAATCATGCAAACGCTTACCTAAAATGCTGAATACTGTGTGATGGACTGCATCATATAGAGGTTGCTTTATGGTTTGGAAAGGATATTATTGAAAATAGGCATAAAAAAAGTGTTTTTAATACATCAAGAGTGGGTACAGGTTGTGTAGACTCTGTTTTTATTTTTTAAATTTAATTCAAACTGGTGTAATATTTAGTTAGTTTGAATATCTTCTGTGAATTACATGTTTTTTTAAACTGAAGAATTGTATTACCAATTAGTGGCAGTGGCGATGGGTAGTGAAGGGCTCACGGGCTTGAGCCCCTACCCCCTCCCCACTCACCTCCCCCAACTTTATCCCAAAGTAAGCAGTTGAAACCATTATGAGCGCACGCAATGAACACAGAGTGATCAACTTGGCGGCTTTCTGGCTTATCTTATCACTGTTGTCACCGCTTACAACTATAGTAACCCAGCAGCCAATCAAATGTCATTAGGGCTTAGCGAAGATGAGCCCTTTTCCCACAGCCCGTCTTTTAAACTCTTCTTGTAAAAAGGTAGAAGACTGGGAAAAAATAACACTGTACCGAGAGCTCACGCTCTCCTAGCCCTGACAATGGGGTGAAAGTTTACGACACACTTTCCCCCACTGACACAGATACCTATGCGCTCATTAGTTCTTTGTTGGGTGCGTTCAACGTTCTCAACTTCGCGGCCTAATCCAGCTCATAGAAGTATTATGTTTGAAGTGTTGTGTGTGTATGTTTGTGTTTGTGCCGCTGAGATTTAACAGTTATAAATCAGGTCGAACTACTTTTAAGGCAACTTTTTCATGACACGAAAACTAATTTGAGGAACTTTGGAGGTGAATTGGCTTCGTCCCCACCACCAAAAAAAATTTAACTAAGAACAAAGAGATGGAAAACAAAGGCAACTCTTCTCGCTTGAATCGTTCTCAAACTGCCGTGGCTCATCGTGAGATAGAAAAATCATCACTGTTTTGTTCTTATTGCTTGCTATTTGGTGGTAAAAAAATAAAAGCAACCTAAGCCCCACCCTAATTTTGGTCCACCCACCGCCACTGATTAGTGGTATAGATAAATTATAAAGAAATTTCATCTTAGAATCTATGAGGGTTGATAAATTGTTAGAGGATGCTAGCTCAAGTAGTTTTTGGACAGGGGAGTAGATCAGTTGTGGTACAATGAACAATAGTGGACAAAACAGAAATATATATACCAGTTTCTGTGGTGTAATGCAACGATGAAGAGATGTGAGTTTCAGTGCTTGGATGGAGAACTTATTCTATACAGCATCTGTCTACTGGGATTAATATCCAACTGAGAGTCAAAGCAGTTGGCCTTTAAAAATGTGTTAATTGTATGGATAGGGATGTAGAACATAATTATGTAGGCCTTTTCTTTATGGTTATTTACAAAGATTATTTCCAAAAAAAATTTTTTTTTTTCTGGAATATCTTCAGATGGCGAGCAAAGATGTTCGGAATTTTCAAGCCCAAAGAAGATTACAATTTTTACCGATGACCTAAAATACGTAAAGTATCCTGAGAATAGAAAGCAGTACAGACCGTGAGTATCTGTTCTGTTTACTTGTAAGGTGGTCCTGTGTACATTTTAACACTTTTAGCCTGAACCCTGCCTCGCCTAAGCATGACTATCTTTACACTTTTGTATACCGATGGCATGCCTTAACACCTGCGGGGTCGTGGACGAGAATATCCGCGAAGCCCGACTGCTTCCCCATGACCGTGGACATGTATACTCACGAGCGAAATGATCTATGTTTTCATTAACCCATTGATCTCTTCCGTTCAGATATTGTGCTTCTGATTTCTAGGAATTAAATGTGGAAAGCGATAAAATGAGGTTGAGAATGTATTTCACAGAACCTGAGGGGCTCGCCGGAATTTGCATGGACACAGACAGTGTTGCCTTGAATAATGGTCTGATTTATTTAGATAGGGAATCTTCAGATCAAGAACAAAGTAATGAAAAATAGATCTGGAAACAGTTATAATTGATTGAGGGGCATGGGTTTACTCTGTCAGCAGATCTAGATCGAGCCTTTTATCCATATCAAGAACTAACTCTGGACAAAAACTTACTATTACAAAATTGATTACACATAAAGGACTGAAATCAAAATATTTTTTCAATAAAAATGTGTAATGGTATAGGTAACATAATATTCTAAACAGTTTGATGAAGTTTCAACTTCACTAGAAACAGAGTCATTGATATAATCAAAGCGACCCATATCTCACTTATTCAGTTGGAAAGCGGACGACAGCTCATTTGGTCCTGGGGAACTGAAAGTCAAATGGCAGGCCGGTCCTGGAGGTGTTAAAGTATGGTAGTGTTGTTAAAGTATGGTAATGTTTATCTAACTTTTGACCCAAATGAAATCAGGTGTCTAAGTCTCTGGGTGGGAGGGCACCTAACCCCTCCATGATACAGGGTAAAACTGTAGTTTCAGATTCCCAAGGATGAAAGGTGGTGCTCGATTTAACAATCAATTGTCTGTAATTAGATCTGATTTGTAAATATGGTAAACTGTCTCTAAAGGTAAAAGATTTCCTCATATGAAAAAAATAATCACTGATTTAAATTTGCAATTGATTTTATGAAGTGCATCTTGTAGAAACAGTATATGGTGAATACAAAATATTATGTAAGCCGTGTTGAACACCATTCAGCAGGGCAGCATCTTATTGCTGGCACTATTAGTAAACGTGAAAATAAAAAGTAAAAAATTTATTTCCCACATTTGCCAGCAGGTGTTGCTCTGTCTAAGGCTGAAAATATACTAAACCTTGTTTGAAGACAACAAACTGATGGACAAAATGCTGCGTGCAGAGATATTTGCTAATAAAACAAAGAGTTGAAGGACGGCCTGATTATACCAAGTCCGGCTAGCAGATGTGTTTTTGGAGACAGTCAGATTTGATTGTTGTGTGCAGTAATCCTCTTTGTTGGGACAGCTGATCCTAGACAGGAAATGAGTCATCGCTCTGGCAAGGACAGCACAAATCAAAGTCGTAAATGTCAAAAATTGCATCAAATCGCGTTTTTTAAGGTTAGATTTGAGCTCTGCGTACTTGAAAACCCACAGGTGCAAATAAGCGCCTTATTGCAATTTCAGAGTATTTATTACTTTTTTCTTTTTTCACAATTAGTTTTTTTCTTTGACTGGCCACACTCGCACACCACAATCCCCAAAGGTGACGGAATGGTGGGTGCAGTTTAGTTATGTTTTCGCATCCGTCCTTCAACTGCCTTTAATTTGCTGACACCAGGTGGATGGGGCTAGTATATTATCAGCCATAGGTAGTAATGCTTGCACTGGACTGGATAAAAATTTTTTGTTTCATTGATTGGCTTGTCGGGCCAATAAACATCTGAAAATATCAGTAGAAGTGAGTGCAAGAAAAGAATTAGGGATCTATAGTATGCAACTCTGCCATAAGCTGACGAAATGCCTTTTTAAAATTCACAGCAGTTTCGAGAAAAAGAGGTTTATTGTCAGTGTTTCCATTGAAAAATAGAGTACTTCAGAAATTTGAATTCAAAATTAATTAAAAAACTAGTCTCAGTTTCACTGTGATTTTTTCACACATGTAGGGTAGGTAACTGATCAGGCTTTCGATTTAGTAAATAAAAATTTTGGCTCCAAAATTTGAAAAAAAGGCATTTTGTCAGCTTACGGCAGGTCTGCTCCGAGATGTAACTGAATTTTCTCTTTTTTTTCCCTCTTTGTGTGCACAGAGATCAGTTATGTGACTGGTGGATTGAGGCTGAAGATGATGATGATGTCATAACTATAACTGTTGTGAGTTCGTCCATTGAGGGGAGAGATGTTCGGTCCCAGTGCAACAAGGACTATGTGAATATATTTGATGGTAAGTTCTTTGTTTGTGTCACAATCCGTTGGAACCAGGCGCTTGTCAATCATTTGTCTATCTTTCGATAAAAAAACAACCTATCTATCTTTAATACAAATCAAGATATTTGCTATTGAAGGAGATGGGGGTCGCTTGCTTTCAGAGGTAAAATTAGCAGGAAATGACTGCCGCAGTGTGACTTCTAAAGCTTGAGAGTCCTTGGAAATTGTAAAACTGCATATTTGTGACTTTGTTCTATGTTTTTCAGTAACATCCACACAGTCATATGTTTTTAAATGGCCATAAAATATGATAAGCCAAAAAAACAAATTTGATAAAAATTGCAGATTGAAGCTGGACTGAAACAAATGTGTTTCAAGTGCTGATTTGAATTTTGTTAAAACGTTAGACTCCTGTAGATGAGCTGGCAAAGCGTTCTACTGGGAGGGGGTGTGGTGTGAATAAGCTCTCCCCCCGTGTTTCTCACTTGTGCTTTGGACAGGTCTTAAAAGTCTTTTCTTTGCCCATTTTAAAGGCCGAGATGGTATATATTCGATGACCATATCACAATATGATGGTGCAATGTTGTTGACGCACTTAAAACAAAGTACATTGCATTATTATTATTATTATCATAATGATGATGCATCATCATCATCATCATTATCGTCATCATCATCATACTGTTATAATGATTTTATCATAATATTAATATCATATCTTGATGGCAAAGATTATTATTATTATTACTATTATTATTTATTATTTATTATTATTATTGTTATTATTGTTGTTGTTGTTATTATTGTTATTATTATTATCATTGTTATTATTGTCGTCTCTATTATTATCTTTATTATTGTTGTTTTTGTTTTCTAGAAGTCTATTTATATATTTCAGTCAAGGACGACTCGCAGGTTTTCCTTGGACGGTTCTGCAGTCGAGATCAGGACTTGACATTTACCAGCACTGGGCCCAAGATGGTGGTACGATTTATGTCGGACGCTAATTTTCAGTACAGTGGATTTGAGGCTAGCTTCTCCGCTGTTCCTGGGGGTAGGTTTATCTGACATGCTAGCAGACAAAAGCTGCTACATGTGTGTTGATTCTCTCTCTCTCTCTCTCTCTCTGTCTCTCTCTCTGTCTCTCTCTCTCCCTCCCTCCCTCCCTCCCCCTCTCTC